CTCGTCAAAGTTCTGACAAATTAAACTTTTGACAGAGTCGTTAAAATAACTCGTCGCATTTTATCTCGCTCGCTTCCCACTATCTCCTACTATGCGTTAACGGCTAAACTCGTTTCTGGAATAAGAGTAGCAGTAACAGTAGCAGATAGAAAAGTTCATTGAAATGTCGCGCGTATACGCTCGCTCTCCCTCTAATAATCGCATCATTAGCTCGAGAATAAATATATGTCTAGGCCAGGATAGAACTAGACCCTTATCAATATGCGACAGCGGCGGCGACGACTGACAATTCGGCAATTGGCCAGTTTGGCTTGACTCTCCCTTGGCGTATAACATCACTATCGCATAAAAGTGTCCCTTTTCGTCAAAGTACCCAAACGTATTATATATGAGATATATACGAGAGCTGATCTATACAATTTTTCCGCTCGCCTTATCAATATCGCTGTACTTATTATTTCGGTCCTAAACGAGTCAGTTACGATATCCGCGCTCGTGGAATGCTTTAAACTTGTTATGTTGCGTGTTTGCCTACCTGATAACTAAGAATAGATCGGTGCTTCTTTCTTAGGCCGAGGTCACGAAAAGAGAAAAGTGTAATATGGGTCATAGGTTGAAGCAGCCTCGGCCAATTGAAAAGCTTTTCGTTTTATGCTATGCGCTATGTTCGGCATGTAGTTCATTCGTTGATGTCAAAATGAGAAAGTGAATAAGTTCCGCTAAACAAGCAATCTTTAATTTTTTCGATATGTGTTATTTCAGAAACGGATTCAACGCCATTTTCCGGGGCAACAATTTTTCTCGAAAATTATTTCTTAAATCATTTTTCAAATCTTCATTTTAATTTTTTTTTTCAACTAAATATTTTTCTATTTTTTTTTTCTATTTCTTTTTTTGTTTTTTTTTTGTTGTAATTATTTAAATACTCAACTCGTAGTTTCGTAGTAAAAGTTAATTGTGCGAGAACTCGATTATTGACAAACAACTTTATCTATATATTTATATAGGTCTGACTTTAAAAATTTATATTTGAATATTACGGGCAATTAGATTGATTTGCAAATAGATTTGATCGACGCATAAAAATTTCGCGTTTAATTTTCTCTTCCTTTACAACGCGAGCGCATACTTTTATAATAGAATAATTTTTAATTTTTAATTGTTAATTTTTAATTATTAATGTTTAATTAGTTGCCTATCTTTTATTCCGTCTAAAGCCATTATCTCACGGAGTGAAAAATGTCGAGAAATTACGGTAAATCTATACTATTATAAGGAAACGTGAGACCCAAATTGATTTATTTCTATTCCGTTAACATTATTTTCCTTCCCATATAATTTCAACTTATTTTGCTTAGTAGACAGGCCTATAATAAGTTAAATTTTAATATTAGCACTTTCGATATTAATCTATAAACCAAGGCGATAAAAAATTTCGATTAACTTTATTTCTGAATCTTTAAATAGATCTCTAACAGTACACGGAATATTATCACTAAAAATTGACAAATAATCTACATTCTCGTGTAATGTTTATTCGTATATTTCTATCGTTTAATAATACTTTGAAACACCAACTGGAGTACTTTTACAAAGAATCCGAAATTTTCTAAACTCATAAAATGAGGGAATATTAATTATTTTTCTTAAATTTTTCATTCGCTTTGGTGTCGCACAATAAGATTGCACATTATTTTATGAAATATTACATTGCATAAAAGCACCGATACAACGAACTCTTTGTACGAATACTAATCGTACCATCAGCATCTTCCTTTGTTAGCGACTCGGCGTTGCCCTCCCCCCCCGCCCTCCACCATTGGCGAAAATTTCCGACATGAAAAAACTTTGGTGTTACTCATTCTCGTACAAAGTTAACGGACGCGGCATGAAGGAGTCAAGAATCGACGTTGCGTGTTTGCCTTAGATGACTAACATTGGACCCGAGTTTCATCTATGTAACGTTCATTGTTGACTCGCGCATTCACCACCATCACTCTAACTTTGTCCAATCCACTGGAGCGCCTTTTTTCGCGCTTTTCTCCAACAATGACAATTGCTTCTCTACGACTACATTCCATTCCAATTGACATTATTTTTTTGTCACTATACTTTTGTCCCGATGCCGAGCGATATATATTTTTTTCGGTTTTACCAATGATTTTATAATGCCCACCGACGCTCTACCGGACAACGGCGCTTGTGTGTATTTTCCTCGAGTTTCACGTCGTTTGTTCTCTTTCTCTCCGTAGCACGAGACGAATATCTCGCTTGTTCACTATGACTAACTAACCATATAGGATACTTATGGATTTGAACAAGCTATTAGCCGTTTGGCTCTATATTTAGTCTTAATTTTGTTCAAAAAAAAAAAAAAAAAAAAAAAAAAAAAAAAAAAAAAAAAAAAAAACCCTTTGCAACGTAAATCTAGAGATAAAGATGAAGGAATATTATTCCTTGGTAATTGTCTTAATAATTTAAATGGCAAGAGTTTTCTTCCAGATAAATAACAATGTTTCTCTTTATCTAAATGCAATTTGTGACAAATTCACTCGAATATTCTAAAAGTAAACGAATCGGTCTTCATATAGATACATCTTCAATTTTATACAAATAAACATATTAACGCATTATTGACGCATTTTCTAAGATCCCATTCATTGTTATAATGTTTTCGTAGTATCTTCAAGCAACATACATATGCCACAATTGTTTTTCAACGTACTAGATACCATAACCTACAAATTCAGCTCACGGCATCCCTATAAATCACCCAGAAATTCAAGTAGTCGCTTCACTCCCGCATTGTAAATCGTAGACCCATTCGAGTCAACCATTTGTCCGACTTTAATGTCTTGCGTCTTTTTCCCATCTGTCGCGTCGGCGCTACGCGCAAAACGGGAATCTACAATTTGCCGACGCTCGCGCCTAAGTAATGGAAACGTCACTCTTGCCTTGTTTAGGTTTTATTATTATGAGGAGCTATGGCCAATCGCGTCGCTTAGCATTAGTCACGATAATAATCGAATGCCGTGCAGCTCTCTCGGCTTTGTTTCCACGCACGACTTCCGTGTTTTATCGGCCACGTCGTGACGTTGATCACTCCGTTTTCGGCAATTTGTATCGTTTCTTTACGCAGTTGCAGTCAAGATCATTAAGGATGCGTGCATTAGTCATGTTACGCGTCTGGTTGAAAGAGAATCGCTCGGAGTTGCATACCGTCACTGTGGCAGGATCGAGTGCGATGGTGGTTGAGTGGCGGCAGGGGGCGGCGACGAGGGCTTCAAATACCGCGTCACCGATCATTAGCGACCATTAGTGAACATATGTTCTTGATAAGAGACATAAAATTTAAATGACATCCGCATGTATCGCTGATTGCTATCGATGAATTAAATATCGACTATATTATAAATAGCATAAGCCGTATGTTTTAACTTTAATAAAGAGTGACTTCATAAACTTTCTCTTTTAATGAGCGTATTATGGGCTGATTTTTTGTTACGATTTAAAATTTTTTTTTTACGATACGTAATGGGCTCATACGCTCATACAACATAGATAAATGTCAAATAAAAACGAATAAATCTTTAAAATGGTTTAAGTTATAAATGGCAAAAATGTAATTGCGAAATGGCAATTTAAGAAATTTTTTTATAAATCATACGATAGCTTGTAGAAAAGACAATAATATATATTCAAAATTGAAACGATCTATCCGAACTTTTAAGTTATCACGTTTTCAAGCCATTCAATTTTTTTTTTTTTTTTTTTTTTTTTTTTTTTTTTTTTTTTTTTTTTTTAAAAAAATTTCTTGGGCTCCTGTTTTTGTACTGCGCGACTGTTTATGAATTGCAAATATATATTTTTTTTTATTAAAATCTATTATCCATTTATAAAATAAATTAAAATATTTAAGCTAATCCGCAAATGCTTTATTCGGTATCGCGCCAATTTTCTTACTAATCTTCATATTATCTTCATATTTGCCTAATAAAAACGACTCTCTTCCCCGTCGACTCTTCATTGATCTGTTCCTTCGGGACCTTCGACGATATAAAGTTATTCTCCGTTCTTAAATAGATATCAAGCAGGGATGTCGTTTTTTCTTTTTTCTTTACAATCGATTTTTTACGTCCAAGGGTTTCCGATTTTCTCATACCGTTCATCGTGCTCGACATGGCGCGCATCGATCCACCTAAAATTCCATCGTCTATCCGACAAATCTAAAGAACATTCATGTTACAAGAAGGCTGGATCGCGTCTTCTTTTAGCCGCATCCTCGCCATTATATTAATAAAATTAACGTAACGACGTCAGTTATCATTCGCTACACTAAATAACACCCATCGCGCATCTATCATTTAATAATATCAATTCTCGAATACAATAATAGGGATTTCATATATTTCTCTTTATCATTATATTCATAATTTTTCGAATGGCTTCGACAACGGCAAGCCAGACGTCTTATGCATAAAAAGTATCCGCATCGGCGAATCGTTTTTAAGAGACGAGAACGACTCATTATTGCGATTCTTCCATAATATGTACAATTGCACATTTCTTTATCGATTGGCACGTACGACCAAAGCAAGAAAATCGATGGAATCGAGAAGAGTGGGAAGATCCTCCGACCGGAGGACTTCAAGTTTCTGGCGCTGCCCTTTCCATCCTCCCCGATCCGATAATACCTCGAACGACCGTTCACCACTCGCTATGATTCTGATATTGCAAGTCCAGGTGCAATGGTGAATTCACAAAAGTTCCCCGAGGATCAATTCCCCGTTGAAGCGAAACGTCGATCGCTGGTGCAAGCTACGACGACGTCGTCCCACGCAACGTCTTACCATCCCATGGATCAATCGAGCAAGTTGAGGTCACGATGGCGCGATCGACCTTCCAAGATGCGCGCGTACTCTCCGGGAGTAAGGGGAGGTCGGAGGGCGGCCTCGGCGAGTGACTCTCATCAGAATCGTCGCCGGTCCTCGAGGGCCGGTCGTACCGGACGTGAGCTCGGCTGGCTTTCGGCCTCGGGCGCGGACGAAGGCGAGGACGGCGAGAGCAGCATAAGCAGGAGTCTCGTGCCCAGGGGCCGCGACTTGGCGACCAGTAGAACGTGCCTCTACGCGGGCGGCTGCTGTCCCTGGTGAATCGGCAGCGAGATCACGTAGATATCGAGTTTCTCCGGTGCGGGCCCCTTATCCGAGGCGATCTCGGCGTAGTTCACCGAGTCATAAGGGGGCGGGGCGAAGAGGTGATACGGCGGCGGCGGCGACTCCCCAGCTGGCTGGACGCCGGGGCTCATGACCTCGCCCCGCTGAGTATAAGGGACGGAGAGGGGCCGGGCGCCTCGACGGCAGCACCACTCCGAGCAGCTGACGATGAGGAAGAAGGCGACAAGGCCGCCGAACGAGCCGATATACCAGACGATCGACCACGGGTCCAGAGGACTCTGACCATCGCTGCTTTCTGTAACAAACGTAAGCGACGGGCGCGCGTTATTTGCTTGACATTGTGAACGAAGGGATTGACTCGAGCCTGTAAGCCGATTGTTAGCTCGAGAACTGCATTTTTGCATTCATTCAATTTACATGATCGATACGTATTTGGATTTATCGACTACCCGCTTTGAAAACTCGCGCAACACAAAGCGACGATAAACTAATTTACGATGCATTCCTTAATTAATCACGCAGACAGAACATTCTATTACAGCTGTAATGTTCGTTTTTCCCCTTCCTTGCTTTAAAGTAGATGATTATACTTTCATATTTCCATTTATAATTTGTACTTTATTTTTATAATTTATATTAATCGAATATACAATAAAAATTAGACATTTACGATAAATAAAATTTCTTATGTACTCCTGTTTATCAATTTTTAATTTTACCTTTTATAACAACCTAGTCGATTAATTTTTATACGACAAACAAAGAATTCGAAATAAATTGCAGTCGCATGTTTCAGCTAATTTCTTATAATTATTAACTTCCTATTTTTTATTTAGTAATTACGGTACAATAATATTGATCGATTGTACATTGCACCTAGTATATTTTGCGCGCAATAAGCATGTACTATGCGTATAGTGTATGTTTAATAATGTTCTCTAAGAGATTAAATATTTTTTTAAGAAAATATGCGTATAGTTTTTTTATATGACTTTTGTATTTTACGTATTAGTAATGATAAATTCAATAAAACACTTGAAAAATGAAATTTAATCTTTCGAATTTCCAAGTACTCATTTACGATAGTGAACAATATGTAACCGAAAATAATTTCTATGTATCAGCAATCATGTTAGATCCGATAGATAGATATCAGATGGATATATCTTGTAGAATGGGTTTTACCAAATGCAAGTGCAATTTTATATATCCAATGTTTTGTAAACAAGGCTGTGAAATAGAATCATCAATATACATATATATATATATATAATCTTTACAATCGATTATTATAGACTGAAAATAATATCAAGACGCAATCAGTTAATTAGTCTCAACGAGTCAGTGAGTAATTTCTACCGAACAATCAAGACGACTATTCGAAAATAAATACAATAACAACGATACCCAACTCTCGCTATTTCTTATTTCAGTTAACATCAATGATATTAATCTCTAGCATAATCTATCTACTTTATTATTTTCAATTTTCATTAATATGATCACAGCTTACAGCCGGTTAATTGAATAATCGATGACCTTGAATTTTATATTATTACTATTAAAAATGTGTCAGGAAACATAATTATGATATTTTTTCCGATTTTATTTATATATTAATGAACGCTTTGTTATTCTTTTAACTATCAAACATGTTGTGAAGTATGTGCCTGCCTAAGTAAATTGCTTAAATATAATGTTGAATCATAACAAATTCATGGGAATATTATTCATGAAAATAATAGTCCATCGAAAATTGTACTGTAAAATAAACTATTTTGATGAGCGATATTACATCATAAGACGATGAATGATCGACATAAGAAAAAAGTTTAACACAAATGAAGCTCGTAACCTTTAAGACTTCTTGAGTATTCTAATGTTTCATGACGTAAGCTTCACTCCATTGAATAAAAAGAAAAAAAAATCAACGTCTAATGAAAAGAACTACATAGACTGTCAATTCGAACACTAATTACTCGTAAAAATAGCCCAATGACTATTAACTATTAAATTGGATTGTGTAAATACTTGGGTTATTTTAAATAACACATATATTGTTAAACATTCGAATAATATAAAATTATATTCTTTGTTAGATCCATCAGTTATACATTTGCCTAATTGTTATTTAAATATTCTTGATAATGGGTATATAATAAGCAGCTACGAGAGAACTATATTATTAAAGTTTTAAAAAGTGTGTTGTTTAACATAAAAGTATTGCTGTCGTTTTCTTTTCCATGACACAAGTTAAAAATTCGAAGGCTTATTATTAATCATTTAATTGGAGATAACTCGTCGGAGAAATTGTCTTCATATAATATAGAAAAGATTATAATATTAATTATTCAATAAATGCGAAACAATGATCTTATGAAAAATTTACATATTTTATTATGATTAAATATTAAATTGGTCTCTATCACCACGAATCTTCATGCAATTTTAAACCTTATCATAAGTCTTATAATATATTCTACATAAATTTTAGAAAATTCATTCTACAATCGTGTGCTTTTAAAAATATATTTCTCATGAAATTTGAATGTTGCGAATGTTGTTTTTCAAGACTATTTTAAATGAAACGACATGCATATAATCTGAATACGGAAACTTTTCCATCATCATACCTTGATGAATTGATTCAAATATTTATATCATAATTTACCTTCTTTAATAATTTACCAATGCATATTATTTTATCAATTTTGCAATTAATTTTATTTAATGCCTGCTATTAAATATAATAGTTTAAATATAATAGTAATTTTTTAACCAAAGCACTAATTCATATTAATATTTAGTATTGTAAAATTTATATTTTTAAATTACACGTACGTATTTAATTGTCTGATTTATCGTAACGTAAATCATAAAAGAATCATATATGTGGCGACTACTTTTATGTGATTCTGCTAGCAGTGTTACCTAAAATTTAGAATTCGAAAATTCAAATTACCGATGAAATTTCAGCGGTTTATGTCTTAAACTAGAACCGCTGCATAGAAAAACATGTGAAAAATGCTTGAAATTTATAAAGCGCATTAATATGCCATTCTGTTAACTTGGCAAGTGCGACTGCGATAAATAGCTCAACTTAATAAAGCTCGCATCGACGGTATAAAAAGGCCACCACTATACGCGAATGAAGCTTGCCTGCCGAAAAAAGACTTTGGAAAAGTTCGCAACGTCAGCCGCGAGAACGAGGACGAACCCTGGACTCAACGAATGGATTGTTCCCGGGGGAGGTGGGCATCGTGAGGTGATGGGATCAATTATGCCGATTGGGTGAGGCGGCGAGAGGGCCGAGGAAATGATCGTCTCGCTGCGTCACCGAATGTACGTGCGAACGAGCCCCGACGCCATCGTATCTACGAATTAAGCCAAACCTCGAGCTCACTACTCGGCACCTCCAATATACTTCCCCGTAAGGAATACTTCGGTCGTCCGATTTTACGGCATCTGTCAGGCCTTAATATTATGGCCTTTTTATGGCAAGCGCTGGACCCTACCAGGCAGATTCTAATGAAAGGAGTGCGCTTTAACGCAGATTTTAAATTAATGACGACCTACCTACTTTTACTGACGTTACTTTAGTATTATGGCCGTCACCTTCGTGCTACAATTACTAAGTATTACTCATTCTTCTAAATGTCTATCCCTTATCCTATCATATTACATTTATTAAAGAATTTGCTTCTTTAAAAATTTGTATATTCTTTTTACATATTATGTAAGCTTTGTGTTCTACGTGTCGCCTATTTTTCTACCTATATCTGCCTACTATTTATCATGTGTGCGTGTGTGCGCGCGAGCATCCGCGTCTATGTAAATACAGGCATATATAAACATAGCCGACATACACGTGCAAATGCACATATAAACACGCACACCCAGAATTTCGGACTTAGAAATACACACGCTTAAATGCACTGACACGCATGCGATTAAATGTACACAATACATGTGCGTAAAACACACACAATCTATGCGCACGTACGAACATATATATATATATATATATATATATATATATATATATTAATACTCCCCCCGCCCACATAGATTGTATACACGTGAATATATTGTGACGTATATATAAATACAAGTCAAGGAACACACACCAAATATATATATATATATATATATATATATATATATATATAATATTTGATATTGCATATCCTTACTTATTTCATTTGACTTCTTTACTTTCTACGTTTTACTGTATTTATTTTTAAATTCATGGCGTAGATTGAGAGTATGTCGTATTTAATAATAAAAAGTAGTTTCTTACCAATTGAATATGGAAACTAATTCTAATTTAGTTTACATGATATTACAAAAAAGAAAATTAATATTTATGAATTAAATTTAGCAAAGTAATAAGAAACATGACTTTTGTACATTTTTTTTTATATGTACAAAATTGTGTCTTGAAATTCCTGAAGTAGTTAAAAGAGAATACATGTAGGAATTTTTATGTGTATCGGGCATTTTATAATGCACAGTTTTTCAACTTTTATGGCTCAAGATTTAAAGTTTTAACTTTGAGTACAATAATTCTTTTACTTAAAGTATTTATTTTGAAAAATAGCGAAGATTAACTTGCTTAAAAAAAAAAGAACGTGCTCTATAGTTTAGTGGCACTTAAAATACAGCTTCATATATATGTATATATTTATATAACTTTATATATACATATATATATATATATATATATATACGAATTGTATCTCACCGTTCGTACTGTGCAAATGCTGAAAAATATTACTACCGAAAAGCGCTTGAAAATATAAATAACAATAGATCGAAGCTTTTCTTTAAATTTAACAGGGAAAAATTCTACCGTTCAATTAAAAAAACCAATGAATTTTTTTCCACATAAAAATATCTCTGCTAATCGATTCAAGAAAGATTCAAACGAGCTACACATCCATTTCAATGTGGTATTTTCCGGATGCGACCGTACGCGGTGCAATTTTGAAACTTTAATAATTTCCTAATATGCTTTGACTATTATTATTAAATCATTATAGAAATGCACTACAACTAATATTAAAGCACGGCTAAGGAGTAAACGTGTTAGTGAGTTACGAATGAAAATTGTTAGCAGCTCGTTGAAAGCCGAACTCACCGTCGTTCATGTCTTTACCGCCGCGATTTCGGCGACTTTCCCCCTTCCCGTCCTCCTCCGTCTCGAATTCAATTACGTAAACGGTCTGCTCCTCGCCTCTGCGATCCGACGCCGACGGCTGCTGCTGCTGACGATGATGATGCTCTATCGCAGACTCCTCGCGCTCGGCTTCGTCTAACCTCGCATCTTCGAGCTCGGAAGCTGCTGTTTGCCGACTCTTTTCCATGCTATGCTTCATGGCTGATGTGTAAGTCGTAAGTCCATGGGCGTATCCTACGAACAGATAAAGATGGAGTACGTTAAGCGTGAACCTGACGGTAGTTCGTTTAAGAGCTTCCGAGGAAGCGGGATACATTAAGCAATGGTTTTTCAATTCGTTGACCTGACATTCGCATGCTATCGTTATCGCGGCCTCGGATAAGATCGCGTCGATTAGTTACGATTGCTTATTCAATTTTCACAACAACGTTCTAAAAGCACTCGCCCAACATTAGTGCCACAAAGATACATTAAATACCTCGTACAAAGTAAGACGAATTATCAGCTATTATTGGTTTTATGATTACGTGAAGCTCAATTGTAACGAGCTAATTCAATGAGACGCTGACAAATATGAGCCACGTTGCGATTTCAATAGCCATAATTCTGATGACGGTAGTCTTTATAATACGGAAAATACATTTTAACCAATAATTACTCGAAAAAATAAAAGAAATAAACAAAATATAAATAAGTCTTTTTTTTCGATTGTTATTATTAGTATCATTATTATCTGGTTTTGATAAGAGTTTTGTTACATAGTTCGCAACACAAGGTGTTTAATAAGCTACGGTAGTTTATGGTGTTAACAACATATTTTTTGATGTTTTATTCGAAATGTTGATAAAATTTTTACCATTCCCAATGATTTTAGAGATATACAGAGAGTCATTATAACAAAAATCACTTTTACGCAATTTCAGAATACGAAAAAGGAAAAAGTGAGATTGAGAGAATATATATATATGTATATGTATAAATAGTGAGAGAGAGAGAGAGAGAGAGAGAGAGGAAAAGAAAGCTTCGATACAGTTTGTTCTGTTATACAAAAACTAAAATACTGCATTATTAAAATCATTCTATTGCCTTTTTTATAGATTATTTATAAAAAAAATCTTTTTTTTATATCGATATATTTATATTTATATTTATAAATTAGCTAATTCTGAATAATATTCCAATGTTTTTTTTTTTCATAAATAATGTTTTTTAATAATATCAAAAGTTACGAAAACTTTACTTTTTTTACAAATACTCGTTAACTTCCTAAGTTTTTAAAAATCTATATTTATTCGCATGAATTTTTACAGCAATTATTTGAAAACACTTGAAGCTTGATGAGTATTGATATTCCATTAAAATAATATTTCAGTACAGTTTCAACAAAAATTATAAGACTATTACTCAGTTAACAGATTATATAAATATATTCTTAAATTGAAAAAATATTAAACCAATTTGGAAGTGTTAATATTCAATTGTAAAAATTGATTTATTATGCTTACAATAATTATAATGAAAATGTTAATAAATTTATTATTAAGAAATTATGTAAAAAATATTTCTCATTTTCTAGAGCATCGTGTGAATCAAATTTCATTGATTTTATTTATAATCATAATTATTACTAAATCACAAATGACTATTATTAACAAGGTTAAAGATCTTTAAAAAAAAAAGAAGAATAATTAACGAAGACTGAGTATCTCTTAAATTATTAGTTGCTCATGTAATGCCATATTGTCATATTAATCCGAACCTCAATAAACAATTAAATACAATACAGTTTTTTTTTTTCTTTTTACACTTTACAATTTAGACTATGAATATTATAATATGCTTTGGTTTATTCAAATGAAACTAGTTGTAAAATCCAACCATTCCTTGGCATCGTCTTTAAAACATATTCAAGCAAATACGTTAAATCGACTGTATTTCGAGCGTCATGCATAAACGATTTATGGCATAATAAAATAAAGAGTCAGCATCGATAGCCAATTAGCGTATTCAATAGTAGACGAAGTACAAAAGCCAAGAAAAAGGCATCATTTATAAATATGATAACGAAGGCATTGAACAATCAGCGCGAATGAAAAAGCGAGTGATGCGTGTCGATTAGCATTAAAGTGCCGAATCAACAGTGGCGTTTTGATTCCCGACGCATACGAGAGGCGAACTTTTTCGTTTACTGATTGAGATTTATCGAGGCTACTTGATCCTCCGTAATGGGACGTCTGCCGAGATTCGCTCGAATTAGCCGAGGAGCTTGCTCTTGCTTCGCTTGGACGATCATCTTTTATAGCGCGTTCGCGCAAATTGTCGAGTAAATTATTTGAATTTGACGCAAAGCGATTTATCTCGGATTCTTAGCGACGTTAATTGGCCTGCAATCAGGGTTTAACGTTTAACTTGTTCCGTAAAATGGATAATTCTTTCAAAAAGAAAAGTCCGATCGTCAACTTTCTCGTTTTCATTACCTAGTGAAAAATGACTTTAGCTTATACAAACTGGGCGTCATACTTGTACTTAAAAGAGAACAAAAAAAATAATTTTTTTTTAAGTTCAATTTATATCACTTAAAATATCTTACCATGTATCAGAGCTATAAAAAAAAAAAAAAAAAATCAAAAAAAAAAAAAAATCCAATACGATACACCACTAATTTCTTTACTACATTAACTTTCGAGAGACGTATAAGATAATTGTTTAATATTTAATTCGAAACAATATTTACCAGACAATTGTTAAAATATAGTAACAAGTATATTTATACTAAGCGTATGAAAATCATTGAAAATGAGAACCTACTCTTTGTACCTCCATATTTTACTTACTTCGAGTCTTAAACTGGCAAACTTACAATAAAAATGCTAAAGCAACGTAAGTGTCCGTTTGAGACAATTATCTCATTTTTTTAGAATAAAATATTAAGTCAAGAAGTTATGGTAAAAACTTTGGCTTATTTAAGGAAATTATAATTTATTCCTTTCATTAAACCAAAAAGCTCTCTTGCTATAAATATCGAATTTATTAGAATTTTTATCTCAACTGCGCGATGTGCATTGTTCGTCGAAAGAACATCATTAAAAAGCAATAATATTCGTATGAATATGAATTTTAACAATAAAAGACATTTTACAAACTATTTTCAATTTTAACTATATTAAAAAAATATATGAATTTCAATAAGAGATCTCGGGAAATGATGTGCTTAATAAATCATAGATTCTTAGTTTTTCGCCTCGGACCTTGGTGAACTCTAATGTATAAAAAAAAATTTTTTTTTCCTTTTTTATTTATTTATAATTATAAGAGGAATTGTAATCGGTTGGATTTTAATAACGAACTTAGTTAGTCCTCCACCTGTGCTTTACGAGTGAAGCGACCCGGTATGCGCGCTCATAATCAGTGCACAGATAAGGCAAATATCATCGTCTAAGGTAATAGGCGTACGGGATTAATCCTTGGATTCCTTTATGTATTCATTGACCGAGAGAGAAAATGAATAGAGAATGTAGCGATCGATATTGTGACGTTCGTTTTATAGTACAGAATCGTTTGATCAAATATCTGTCGGTGATTTTCTTTTTGCGCGCATCCCAAAGTCATTAGGACATCCCGCGGAAGCGAATGTAATGGCATAGAGGAACTACGACTCGCTGCTTGGAGAAAGGCTGCACGGATAAATTACCCGTTCTCCACGATCATTTGACATTAACCGAGTCATATCAAATCTATAAAAGCAATCAGAAATTCTTCCTACTTCAATAGACAATGAAGTATTTTTTATCGAATTCTTATCGACTTGATCGTAAATCTTCTAGAGTGGAATTAATATTTTGCCTCTCTAATGATGATGTAAATCTCTGCGCGAAGATTACGCGTGCGCGGTAAAGGGCGTATAGCTAGAATAATGGTGAACGAATTTTTCAAAATTTTTTCAAAAATTTTTACAGCGGTAAATATAAATTTTCAGTGACTAATTGCCCTTCTATTATCGCGCATCTATTTCGAACGCTGTGATTATGTGTTTTATCTAAATTATTTGTAATATAATTTTTATTATTGCGCACAATCTTCTTATAATGTTATTATTAGAAGTATGATATTATGAATTTAATTAGTCTTATAAAAACTTGTGCACATAAAGAAGCAATTAAAACAAAATGAATAACTGATGATAGCATTTATAAAATCAAATAGTACAGGTATATAACAATAATTTTCTACCATTCGTTTATAATCTTGCACATTGTTTGATTTTACAAATAAGTGCATTCCATTTTCTTTGTGTTATTCATACTTGGAGGCCATTATAAAATCATAGATTATTATTATGCATAATAAATAAAATTGCACGATACTTGGAGTCAAAAAGTTATTTTAAGACTATTTATTAAGGAATGGCAGAAGCTACTACACTTATTAGACTTGACAGAATATTGTAAATACAGGGGACAATCGAACGTTGTTCATGAAAACATTAAATTCTTTTCGAGTACTGGTGTTAGAGAATTTTAAACGCATATTACATATCAATTGAATCCATATGAATTGTAGTAAAAATGACATGGTTTTTTTGTTTTTTGTTTTTGCTTTTACGATAAAAGAAGTAGCTCAAGTTGAAATTGAAGCCACTGAGTAACAGTATAATTATATAGGCAACTTTTCAATTTATAACCAAAACAAATCTCAAAAGCACTATAGTTAAACGCAACAAACTGTAGCTTGACCTGCATGACTTTTTATAACAGCGATTGTAAACGTACAACTTTTGATTGGAAGTGTAAAATGTTTGTGATTCATTATGATTACGAAGATTAATAATTGGAAAGGGTGTATAAGATAGTCACACTCTACTCTGTCGTGTATACCATTAAGAAATTAATTCCAAGCAATTAATAGCGCTGCTACTTTTTCAGCTTTTTTCCATACCATCTGTGCACCGTGCAAATTAAAATGTAAAAGCATTGCAGGCGGTAGCGAGCTTATTTAGATCATAACGTTGCTCGCGTGCACCTAATCAATCGTGCTAATTCGTCATCTTCTATCTGGATAACAATGAAACGATACACAAAGCCTTACGTACATAGAAATAATTATAAGTCGTTATATGCTGCAATTGACTTTTGAGGTGCAGTGAGTGTGTTTGTCGAAAGGAGTACATCGTCGAGGATTAACATAAAGTGTGGTTGTGGTCACCGACCGATGCTGCGCAACAAGTTCGCAAAACC